TTACTCATATTTTTAGATAACATCTGTCTGGAAATCGAAAACCCAAAGACGGAAGTTGCCATCCTCATTAAGAAAGCTTGGCCTTAGTTTAGTAAGAATGACCACTTTCAAATCAATTGCCTGTGCAGCTTTGTCCAACAAGGATCTTGAGCAGTGCATTATTAAGCAGGTCATACTTTTAAAAATTAGCTAGGAAAATGGACAAACTCTGCAAGATGAAAAAAAACCTTGATGAAAGCTGTTGGTCCAAGTTCTTTGAAGACATTTTCAATGTTAAAGATTTTGAAGGAATGGCGGCTGCCCTGTCCAACATTTTTTGAATTAATGCATGGTGCAGCTCTCCATCCTGGATGTTCGGAAGGACGAATCCAGAAATCCATAGCACCTGTTTTGATGTCTGGCTCTATTCTAATGCAGTGCCGGAATAGACTGATGAATGCTCTATAGCACATTATGGGAATAATTTTGCATCAGAGTCGAACAAAGAAGAAGGTATCTAGATTTACATGTGAAGTGGTTTCAATAMGCCTGTGAAATAGGTGTACACTAATACACATTAGTCAACTCTGCTTAATGCTTGCACTCTAAAATAAGATCAGTATCATAGCAACATGTATCAGAAATGTAAGATCCCTCTGTGTTAGCACAGTTTATTTGTTTAAATTCCTTCTCTTTCCTTTTTTTGAATTGTTTAAAATCACTTGTCCTCTTCCTTGCTACAATAATCACTGGCCACATAAGCCAAAACCTTGGTTATAAAAATTATGTAAACACAGAGGAATCTTAAATTTCCAGTAACAAAACTGTATCTTTTTAATAGGTTCATACAAACATACAAATTGTGCAAATGTACCTGTTTAATTTTTTTTAAACTTTTTGCAGATTGTTATGTATTTATTTTCTATTCTTTTGTAAAGGGGTTTATAAGACTGTCAAAAATGGGCATTTGTATATCAAAACACACAGTAAATACAAAGCTCAAAGAGATGGCAAAAGGGCATGATTTACCTGTTTTAACTTGGAAAGAGAAGGTTCAGAAGATTCATGACCTCCATGAAACAACAAGCATGGACACTACAACAGGTCAGCACACTTTCATCAAAGGGTTTTGGTGTCCCGGTGACATCAAAACAGTGAATGACATTTTTATGCTTTGATTATGATGGYATCCAAGAATGTGTTACATGTAAATATAGAAAAATCTTTGACATCTAACCCGTGTTTGTTTGTTCTGTTTTCTGTGTAGTCTTCCAAAAAAACAAACAAACAAACAGAGAGGGATGGAATAGATGTATTCATATCCAGTCCTTACATTTTATTTTATTTTTAATTACAATATTTCAAAATTTATCTAGGAAATGCCAATGATGATGACTCTTGTCATGTTCCACTTTGTTGTGTTAAATCTAAACAATATGACATTGTTGGGGATAACTGTGACTTTGAACAGCGTCCAACAATATACTCCTCAGTTAAGTGTGACAAAGGTACTTTTTGAATTCGTCCAGTGTTTATTTAATACACAAACAAAGACCTAAAGAATATACATTCAGTGTTACAATAAGTCTAATTAAGTTAACTATCCACTACAACAGAGTCTATTTTTACAGCATGTTCTACAAATAGTAGTTGACACGGTACTAAAATATGACCTGCTAGCCGAGGTGGCTTACTAGTAAAATAACAACCAAAATATAGGCTTACCCCGACGGTTGGAACTAAATATGTCCTAGAGACCTTGCATGTATAGTATGGATTGTTTAAGTCCTATAAGAATCGATAATGTGATAGAACAAAAGGCAAATTAGCGAGACAAAGCGATTGCACTCAAGCACAAACAAAAGTGCACCAAACTATGTCGAACAATGAAATATAAGATTAAAAACTTACAAGTAACTTACAAGTAACAGGTTAACTTCCAATGACCAAAAGATTAGCACAGGATGGCCTAATATAATCTCTAAAATCCAGCGATTCTCGCATAAAATGTTATGATAATAATTCGT